TCACCATCAATTAAAAGAGGTCCTTTCTTTTGTTATATGTAACTCAGAGCTGGGCACTGTCATTCATGACCTTGTAGCTTTAGCTCTTTATAGGTGGTTTGAGTCATTTGGTAGAGATCTCATTTTGCTGTGTGGAACCACAGCATCCATCTAAAGAGGCTGATTTGACTCCTGATTTTCCAAAGCCAACATACACCCACAATTTACTACCCAGTGATCATCAATATAGAAAGAAAAATGCTCTCACTAGGTTACTACAGCATTGGAATTAAATCCTATCATTTCACTTCACGTAAAGTCATCCTCAGCTTGAACATTAACATATCCATGTTGTTTTATGGCAACAGTATGGCAGCGATTTGCTGTACCTTCTTCTGGAATATTTTTCAATTTTCCATTGAAAAGGAAAGCCCAAATGTTTCTTGGTGATCTTCCATCCAAGTCCCTTATCAAGTCCAACCCTATTTACCTTTTTGGAGATCAGTCAAGGTAGACTGTCTACTGCCACCAGTAGCCTTAGAATCTGCTCTGGGAGGAAGACCAGTAGTGGTGTTGTTTTTGAAAGGAGAAGGGGAATGTTTGGGCCACCCTAAACAGCCCATTTTTCATGAGACTTGTCCGCTATGAATCTTCAAATACTGAAAACTCCAAGTTCTCTTATGATTTTTCCTTCCAGTCCCTTTGCCTTCTCTCTTGTAAGTCTGAGTACAGGTCTCTCTTGTTTTTATCACCCAGTAAGCAACCTTATCACTTTTCAGACTGAAGAATACAAATGTTTTAAACAAAGAAACAAACAGAAGAGCACAAGCAACACAAAGGAAAAGATTAGCTGTTCTCTCTACTTACAGACTTGCAATGTGTCAATATAAAAAATATAGTGTAGATCTAGATCTGCTTGTTCCTGTCAGACTCCACCAGCACAACTTGACAACTACCTTCAGGAACTAGCTCACAACAGAGTCTTCGAGAACTGAGCATAGTTAGATCAAAGCTTTATTGTAAATGTCTTATCTATGAAGATCAATTACTGCAGAATATGAGAATCTAACTGTGCATGTGCACACACACATGTGCCTGGGTACAAGAAAGAATGAGTGTGCCTGTAGGGTTTAAACCTTATTTATTTATCAAATTTATATAGCCACCCATCTCACAAATGTGACTCTGGGCAGCGTACAATAAAAACAAAACAATTAAAAATAGAACTTTAAAAACCATTGAACAATTAACACATAAATATAACTAAAAACCATGGAGAGTGCCTTCAGGGTCTTACATGCAACATAGCTATTTCACAGACTCCCTATTTCCATGAGGTTCCCAAGCCTGCTGACACAATCAAATTTTAAGGGATTTCCAGAAAATCAGTAGGGTTGGAGCCAATTCATAGGGCGGGTGCCATGGCAGAAAAGGCTCAACACCTGACTCCTGTCAGATAAAAATTCTTAGCAGATAGGATCACTGCATTCTGCACCAGCTGGAGCTTCTGGATACTCTTCAAGGGCAGCCCCATGTAGAGCACATTACAATAGTTTGTAACGTATTTTGGGAAGTGATCAGGGCATGAGTAACTGAGAGTAGAGCCTCCTGATCCAGGAACGGGTACAACTGCAGCACAACAATAAGTTGCACAAAGACTCTCCTAGCCACAACTGCCACCTGGTCTTTAAGCAGGAGTCGTGAGTCCAGAAGGACTCCCAGATTGTGCACAGGGTCTGTTTAGGCAGTGCAACCCCATCCAGCACCAAAGATGGTAAATTCCCAGATCCAGAAGGCCCCAAAACCCAAAGCCACTCAGTCTTTCCAGGGTTCAGTTGAAGCTTGTTGTTCCCATACAGAACCCACAGCCTCCAGGCACTGAGACAGGGTATCAACAGCTTTCTTTAGTTCACCAGGGAGATGTATAACTGGGTGATGATACCTCATCCCATGGAGATGGATCTCACTCAGCGGCTTCATATAGATGCTAAATAGCAGTAGGGACAGTACCGAACCCTGTGAACCCCACACTGTAGGGGCCCCAATCAACAGCAACTGGAATCGACCCCTTAGGAAGGAAGAGAACCAGCACAATACAGTGCCACCCACTCCCAACCTGCAGAGCCAATCCAGGAGGATACCATGGTCAATGGTATCAAAGGGTACTGAGAGATCAAGTAGAGTCAGGATGGATGCATTACTGCCATCTCACTGCTGCCAGAGGTCATCCAAAAGTGTGATCAATACTGTTCCAGTCCCATGCCCAGGCCTGAATCCTGATTGAAAGGAGTCCAGATAATCCGCTTCATCCAGGGTCCACTGAAGCTGCTGTGTGACCACCTTCTCCACAACCTTCCCTAAGAAAGGGAGATGGGATACTGAACAAAAATTATCCAGTATAGTGGGATCTAGCAATGGCTTCTTGAGGAGGCGGCAAACCAACACCTCTTTGCAGAACCCAACTGCACATCACCTGTCAGGCAGCCTTAGCTAGCCAGGAGGGACATGGATCTAATGAGCAGGTGGCTGAGCTCACAGTCATAAAGACCCTGTCCACTTCCTCAAGCCCAACAGGTTCAGACTGTTCCCAGGTAACAGGGCAAGACTGTGCCCGAGGTATCTCCACAAGATCCGCAACAAGGCTGGCATCTAATTCAAGTGATTTTGTCCAACATGATATTTTTATTCTGCTTTATTTATTTATGTGTGTGTCTGTGTGACTGTGTGTCAACTCAAGGTGGCAAACATATTTAATGCTCCCATCCCTTATTTTCCCCACAACAAAATTCTGTAAGGTGGGTTGGGCTGAGAGAAAGTAACTGGCCCAAAATTACCTAGGCAGCTTTCATGCCTAAGGGAGCCTAGAACTCATAGTCTCCTGGTTTCTAAGCCAGCACCTTAACTACTACACCAAATTTGCTCTGCAAATTCCTCTGTGTGGCCATGTAGGTAAAGAGGACTCACGTTACACTAAACAGGGCCTAACCATAGATACAATAAGGGTGGAGAAGTATTGATGCTTCACCGCCCTTACCACTACAAGGTAGGCCTTAATAGTGGCTCTAACCCATGTTCAGTTGAGTTCATCCTTCATTGACCACCAACAATGCTATAGGCATCTCTTCACCCATTTCATCTTCCTCAACTCTTCCATAAACTATGGAGAGTGATGGGATCCATGGGAGGGGAGAGGTCACATGGGCATGATTGGATCCAAAGCCTTGGCCACCCTGTCATTCCAAGCGACGACCAAGGCCTCAGTCAGGCTATGCAGCAGACCAACAGAAACAATCTCCACCTCCCTCTGGATCTATCTGTCACTGAAGGCAGACCGATCTAATACATCCTGCCTCTCTGCAGGCAGGGGGCAGCACCAGAGAATCTCATAATTATCAGGGTGTGATCTGACCATGACGGGGGCCACAGAGAGCTCCCCCAATTCCAAATCACATTGCCATTGCTCCAACATGAAAACCAGATCAGGTGTGTGACTGCTGTCCCATGTCGGGCCCTGGATGACCTGGGATAGGCCCATGGTTGTCATGGTGACCATGAACTCCTGAGTCACCTCAGACCCCACTCCCAGAGAAGGCAGATTGAAGTCCCCCAGCACTGTAGGCCTGGGAAACTCCACTGCCAACCCCAAGACAGAGTCAAGGAGCTCAGGCAGAAAAGTCGCTATGCAGCAGGGAGGCTGATGCAGTAGCAACAGTTCCAACTGATCCCTAGAGCCCTACTTAATGAACAGGGTCTCACATCTGGTAACTTGTGGAGCAGCACCCCTGAAAGCCATAAGAAACTCCCGGAAGACAATCACTACACCTCCACCCCTGCCTGAGTTCTCAGCTGATGCCACATCCGAAACCCAGCTGGCCACATTTCCAAGAGGTGGACTCCCCCTTCAGGATCCAGCCAGTTCTTGGTAATACACGCCAGATCAGTCCTCTCATCCACAATTGAATCACAAATGAGTGAGGCTTTATTACAGGCTGACTTGGTGTTTAGCAGCAGCAGCCAAAAGCCAGAGACTAAACCTTAGATGTTTTTCTCCTGCCCTCTCACAATAATGAATTTTTTTCTGCTTTTTCCCCCCAAACAGAATTCTGGAAGACACCTGCACTTGTGTTAAGAAAATGGACTTGCCTACTCTGAGACTCTTTGCTTTTCACTTGGTCATCCCGAGCTCTTGCACCCCCTATGCAAGTGGTTAAACTTTGGGATTTATCTAGCTGGTTCAGTCCAGTTTGTGCAAAGCAGTTATGTTGCTCTGTTGTACCTTCAAGAACAGCAAGAGGGGCTCCTTGACGGCTTTCTGCATTGCGATGAGAGTGCTTTTCAGAGGAATTCTAGTTTGTCTTAGAAATAACTAGGATAATACAAAACTGCTATGGCTAAAATGAGAGTCACCTAATCCTGTTTGCTGATTGAAAGAGGGCAGCCAATGGGAGGCTGGACAGTGAGTAGGTGGGGAGGGGAAAATGGTTTGGTTCCAAGACAAAGACAGACAAGACCCAGCATTTATATGCATCTCTGCTCTGTCAAGAGAGTTTCTATATGTGCACCTGGGTGTTGAAACCTGCAATTGGAGGGCCCAGGAGAGGGCTAACCTGGTGCTCAGATCTCAGGTAGAAGAACAGGGGTGTGCCTTAGAGCAGGTCTGCACCAAATATATCTATTGATACTAAAGAAACAACACCCAGGACCTTTTGCAACAGAACTGGTTGTCAGGATAGCTTTGGTCTGCAGAGATATTTGACTACAATGTCTATTATCAGCATGAATTCTGCCTTACACGGCCCCTTTATAATTCTACAAACATGGTAACATTGTCAGAACCAGTTCTTGCCTAATTTAAATCATATTCTGGTTAAAATGCTTTTTTCTTCTTTCATTCAAGTCTACATGATCAAATTCAGGCTTCCAGAGACATATATATTACATACAGGCAGTCCTTCTTCCCATGCAAAAGTTTACCATCAGAGAAGAAGGTTATATACTTTTTAAAAATGGCTTGTACTTACATTTCAGTGGCTATGAAACCAGTAAGCTCAGACAGGAAGAGAAACAGTATGAAGAAACAGCAGCAGACAGAGACTGGAAAAGACATGGGTAAATGAAAGTTAAGTTCCACTCCTTCCTCAAAAATCTGAAAGTTTTTCCCCCCAACCACCTTGATTCCATAATGGCAACTCAACTGCTTGGATGTTTCAGCACAGCTGCTAGAGACTGTCCTCAAAAATATTTCCTGATTTTTCTATCCTAGATCTCAATTTGCCTTCTGTATTTAAATATTGCTTTGTAGTATGGAAATACTTCCCCAAACCCCAAATGTAAAATCAAAGTTTTTTCCCACCTCCTATAGAATCCCTGAGGCTGATGGAAATCACTTGTCCTTCCAGTATAGTTAAGTATTAGAACAGGTATCACAAAGCTATGTGGAGTCTTAAAGTTGGCTGCATGGAGAATGCACTCTCAAGTGATTTAGAACTACGTTCTGGCACCCAAATAAATATGAATAAAAAGCCCTTTTTTAAACATTCTGCTATAAAAGTTGGTTTAAAATACTGCATTACATAAACAGAATGAAAATGGATGATCATCAAGATAATAAAACACAGATGTTTAATGCCATGAAATCAGCGTTAAGAAATATTAAGTATAAGATGTTTTTATTCAACTATGCCTCTTCCTTTATCCTGGATTTTCTTAAGATGAATCAAGATGATATTCCATTTTTCCTTACAACCACCCTCTAAAGTGTAAAGGTTGAAATAAATCACTCTGTCCTGAAAAACAAACAGAAAACATGATTCATAAGCGAGCAGAAAACTATAGCCAAGTTCAACTACTACTACTCTGTCCATTGCAATTGCTTTATCTATTTCTTCTTTCACCATCATTTCTTCTTTGTGTCTCAAAAAAAGAAAAGAAAAGCAGAACGTGCTCCATTTAGAGTACTCTTATTCTAAACAACCTTGTTTTCTGTTTGAAAAGACTAAGCCAAAAGTGTTTCTTATTTCTTATTTATTTTATTAAACAAATTTATATGACCATCTATTTTAACCAGTATAACTCTGGGTGGCATGCTTGCATGAGCTCTTCACTGAAACTGTTTGCCCACTAAGCTAGGTGCCTGTGAATTACAGCTGGTGCTAGATATATCTTCCACTATAAGTTTCCAATTGAACACAATTGATTTACAACACTAACAGAAACATTGTGCCTAGCCTGTGTATATTCCTCTGCTATGTTCCATCCATACTAGTAGCAGTTGAGCATTTTTTTCTTTCCCATATGTTTTAATAAATGTGTATTATTTTTATTGCATATTGTTTTAAATTGTTTGAATGAATTACTATATATTTTTTGCTGTTTTTATTATAAAGGTTTGAAATTTTTCATCATAGGAAACAGTCTATAAATATAGATAAATAAAATTCAAATGACGAAGCCTATCATAACTCCAAACAGATCACCAAATCTTTTGCAGCAGCTGCCATTTTTAAACTTATATTTAAAAAATAATAATTTTCAAACTGCTTCTTAAATTATTGCTATAGCATCACGTAACAGGACTATGCAAGTCTTTTGAAAGGATTTCAGGATATGTGGTAGCATATGCAAAGTACCTCTTTTCAAACTGATAAAAAAGCCAGGTCTTTTTCGAAGTTTGTACAGCTGCTTTGGAAGCTGTTCTCAGTTGTCTTCACACATGAAGTGGCACAGGAAACAAGTGGGAACAACTTCTGAAGTAGCCATACAAGCTTAGAAAAAGATGAGGCTACTTTAACAATTCAAAAGGAGATGATCTGTATACACTTCTGTGTGTTCCAAAGGATGTCTTTCAAAGGATTATCACATGCAATAGGACTTTCTTACATCCTGCTGAGATCTTGATGGAAGATGAAGCAAGAAGCTTTTTAATAGAACTCCACAGGAGTGGAGCAGAACATTCTCTCCCATCTGCAGTGTGATTAAAGAAAGAGGAGGGGAGAGAGAAGAACCTCTTGCCACTGGTCCTTCCAAATACAGCTCAGCCTGTATCTGTGAGGCTAGCTTCATTCAATCCCTTCTCAAGCATTTGGAGCCTGGCAATGCAAGTGCCAGGCATAAAAGACAGGAAAGCAGAGGATGCAACATAGTAGAGATGTACAAGCCCCCCCCCAAAGGGGGGGGGAGAAATGATCTGCCGTGAGGAGAATGGTACTCTTCCAGGCAATTTTTGCTCCTTTCCCTTTGCCTCCTATTGCTCAGCTGCCCCATTAGAAAAAAAATCTTTGTTGCAAAAAGAATTTTATTTTAAAAATGTATACATGTTTTCATCAAAATTATCCCAAGATGGTTTCCAATAACATCATAAAAAGTAACACAATAATAAAATCAATAAACCAGATGAAGTCGAAATAATACAGGAACCACTCAGTATTTATAATAATTAAGACATCAAAACAGTTAATAAAAGGTCTAGAGAAGTAAAAAGGTTTGTTTTTGCTGGTTCCTAGAGGGTAACATGGAATATCCTACATGAGCTCCTTTGGTGAGTGAATTCCAGAAATGAGATATTATGGCTACTAAAGTGGTGGACAAAGTAAGAAGAGAGGCTCAGGAGATGGTCAGGGAGATAGGAACCCAGTTCTGAAAATATATAAACCATTTTTCTGCAGACATCAAGATGTCTAATGGAGCAAGACATGAGCACAATCACTTTTTCTAATCCGTGTTCTCCATCAACTGGAACTGACTCCTTGGATGTTGAAAAAAGCATGTAAGACTTTGACAGATGATACTGACTGATAAAAAGCCTATTAATACCAGCTTTTGAACTGAGCTACAATGGAAACATTTTAATTCTAAGCCAATGTTGATCGAGTTTACACTATGTAGCATGGGGGACTTTCTTGCACATGCCTCAGCAACTAACCAAGCTTTAGTTTGCTATTTTCGCCACAAAATTAAGTATAAAAAATGAGACTGGATCCATTCTCTATACCACAGTTCTTCCCAAGCTAGTATTAAAGCAGATCCCTATAATTCTGATTTAATTATATTTTGTCTGCACTTGGATTTTATCTACATTCTGTTGAGAAGGAAACTGCAAATCTCTGGGTTTCTGACCAGCTTTGGTATACTATTAGACATCTCTCTATATCAGTGTTTCTCAGCCTTAGCAACTTTAAGATGTTTGAACTGGGGAATACTGGGAGTTGAAGTCCAGATATCCTAAAGTTGCCAAGATTGAGAAACACTGCTCTATATATACAACCCCATGCATTTCAAAAGCAGTCACAGAACAATGACTACTGTGAATGAAGGGAGCAGACTCAAATGCAAGCAGTGAGGGTGTGGCAAAATCAGTACGTGTTAGTCTAAGTGAAAGAGGCAAGGTTGGTATTTATTGATGAATTAAAGCAAACATTCTCCACATCCTGACTCCATGCTGAATCACCATGGAATAGGCAAAGAAGAAATGCTTCACGCCACAGTATTGGGAGAGGGGAACATCTAAGCACCATGTGATTCTATTCATTCATCAAACACAATGTCAGGACATTCCAATATCCATCTTCATCACAAGTTCTTGCTCCTGAAACGTTGTTCTATCACAGCAGTCCTTGTTTGGTCATTATGGAACATTTGTCCAAGAGGATTAAGTTTTCTGCAATCAAGAAAGGAGTACCATTTTTCTAAAACAGCTGTGCACCAAAACTGCCTTCTACGTATTTGCTCAATGGTTGTTAGATGTCAGAAGCAAGTTGCTGGGCTCACTTGCATAGCCACTTTTCCATACTTTTCTCTCATCCTGGAGCTGGGAGGGACTCCTATTATTCTAAATCTTGCTGTCCCAACAGCATGCCCTTACTGTACATCCAGAACACAACTATGTTGTGCTCCTGTCTGTAAGGCTATACCATGCAATGCTGTAAGGACTGTGATAGGTGATTTTATCTGGCTGAAATTCAAAAGTCTCTTTGGGAAAAGTTGGCACCAACGGCCATACAAAGTGGATGTTGGGGTGGTGCTTATAAAGCTTGAGTGGCCCCTCCCTCCCTTCCCTCCCTAAAGGACTGTTAACCTATTAACCTAAGAACCAGTAGATGGCAGTCAAGAGCTCATCTTTCTTGACTGCAACATAGAGGTCATCCAGATATCTGCTGCCTGGATGCAGTCACTGTATACATGTTTTTGAGAGTTTTGGGGTACCTGAGAGAGGTGTTAGGCTGTGGAGTGCTCTCAGGTACATCAATTTTTTCCCCCAGAAAGATTATCAACCTGTCAACCAACCACCCAATCAACTACTGGGTAATAGAAAATATTAATTTTTGACATCTCTCCATTGCCATCTATTGGCCATCTGGATTTATGCAGTTCAGATGCAGTCACTAGATAAGTGTTGTTGAAGAGCTGGAGTTTGAAAAAGGGAGATGTCTGTGTATGCCTATGTGCATACATCAAAATACAGTGAATAAGGCAGCTGCAGGGGTTCCAATCTTCTTTGTATATAGAGTAATTGTGAATTCAGAGGAAGGCCCTGTGTCCACTTTCCATGTGTAGAGGAAGGCCCCTGGATCACTTACTCTACAGCATGTCATGGATGGAACTGGAGTAGTGTGTTTGTAATGTCCATCTATTGGGTGCTTTGAGTTGCATGACCTCTTGGTTCAGGCAGTAACCACTTTTAGGTCAATTGGTCCACCTACCCATTAGGAAAAAAAAAACACATAAAGAAGCTGGCTCAGTGCAGCCAAATAGCACTGCAGAACCCATGGACAGAATTGGGCAGTACCACAGCAGACTTGCCAGATCAATTGGAGACACATTAGTATATTGTTACAGCCACAACCAAGAACCTTTAATAAACCTGAGATAAGAAACAGCAATGGATGGTACTTATTCTATGAATTTCAACCTAAGTGAAAAATACCATTTAAACCAAGAAAAACATGAAATATGAGTTACAATCTAACAGCTTAATAATTCTCACAAGCCAATTACCCATATATTCCAGGAAATATAAGGGTCAAAATATGAAATTTTTACCAAGACTGAATGCCTATTTCAGAAACTAAATGACTGATAAAGTCTGTCACTGTTCC